TTACCCCCTGGGAGATTGTCACGTACCCCAGGGAGTCCTCCTACCCCCGGTTGAGACACCCTGGTGTATAATACTTCAATCACGAGACGCCACGGTGGCTAGGAGATGTTCACTACCTCGCCTGGTATGCGGGAGGTCGTGGGTTCATCCCAACTCTGACGCCTGCTGCTGCTGCTGTATATTTGGAGTTTGCGTGTCTCTCTCTCTCTCTCTTCCCGTGGTCGCGTGGATTTTTCTCCGGGTCCTCCGGTTTTTTCCCCCCTCCACATTTAGAATGAACATCACCATGACGCGTTTTGGAACATTTGGCCGCTATAAATGTCCAGCAAGATAAGCCACACTTCGTTGAGCTATCATTTGTGATCGGGTCGCTTCTGAAATAGAGCTACGTAACGGAGTGGTTCCTTCATTGATAAAAAAAAACAATATAAAAAATATAGTGGAATAGTTTGATTAATGATCGACGCGATGGGGCTGCCTCTCCCTCGCTCTGTCGGCCAAGGCAACCAGCTCCCTGTTGTTTGCGTCTCGCTACTCGGGCTGTCTCTCCTCTCTCCTCTCTCTCTCGTCTCTCTTTTTTTTACGATCAGAGGAAACAAGAAGATGCTCGGTGTAGTCGGCACTTTGTGCTTCGTTCATCATTTCGTTTTTTTCAATGCTTTGCTTTATGTGCCCCCTACCCCCCCCTTTCTCTATCTCCTAATCTCCCCTCTCGCTCTCTCTCTCTCTTATCCGCGGTCCTCTTTCTTGCTATGTGGGCAATAAACCCGCAACGCGCCGAGCGCGCGTGCGGGGAGCGGTGGCGCAGTGGTTAGCACCGATGCGTTGTGTGTACGCTGAACTTCTTTCGCACCGTATGTCGCCAACCGCTCTAATCGGAGGGGCGTGGCAAAGACAGCAAGCTAAACAAAAAGCAGTTTTAAAGAAATTAGTTCGTCAATCTAGAATCTAGATGATGATTTCAAAGCGCATAGCTCCAGTGGCTTCTTAATATATCGGAAGGAAGAGCGTTCCAGACGGCCGCAGAAGCGCATCCGAAAGTGACCACCTTTGTCCGATGGCTAGGCATACCCTGTAACTCTCATTGCAGTAGTGCCTTACATTGTTCAATTTTGAATAATCTAATGCCAGCCAATAGCAGTGTGTTCCAGAAACTATCGAGTGAAAAAAATGTATACTTTGTAAACGAGCCAGAGGATCTGTCCGCTCACAGAGTACCGCCCTTCACAGGTGCTCGCTAACAGCACTTGACCCAGCAGTCTGTTAAGGCTACACGGGTGGTCTTTGTCTTTGTTGTTGCTGCTGCTGCTGCGTGTGAATGGCAGTCGTGTACGAGTCTGGCTTGTGACTCCCTCCCTGCCTCGTTAGCCGCTCGACCCCGTGTGAGTGATGAGCCCCGATCCCAATCGAGTTCTGCCGCTTTCCTTGTCCGCTAAAACTGACACAAATTCGAGAGGGGCTTTTTCACGCATCGCTAGCACAAGTGTGTGAGTGTGTGTGAGAGTGAGTGTGTGTGTGTGTGAGAGTGAGTGTGTGTGAGTGTGTGTGAGTGAGTGAGTGTGTGAGTGTGTGTGTGAGAGTGTGAGTGTGTGTGTGAGAGTGAGTGTGTGTGTACGAGTGTGTGTGAGTGAGTGTGTGAGTGAGTGTGTGAGTGAGTGAGTGTGTGAGTGAGTGTGTGTGAGTGTGTGTGTGAGAGTGTGTGTGAGTGTGTGTGTGAGTGTGTGTGAGTGAGTGTGTGAGTGTGTGTGTGAGTGAGTGTGTGTATGAGTGAGTGTGTGTGAGTGTGTGAATGAGTGTGTGAGTGAATGAGTGTGTGAGTGAGTGAGTGTGTGAGTGAGTGTGTGAGTGAGTGTGTGTGTGAGTGTGTGAGTGAGTGTGTGTGAGTGTGGGGAGCGATAGTGTAGCGGTTAGCGCGCTCCGCTATGAACCTGGCGACCCGGGTTCGATTCCCGCTCACGGCCAACACCAGTGACGATTATCTGAACCGGTCCCGGGCCTCCCCTAGGTCGACTCAGCCTCAAATGAGTACCCTGGTGCGGTGGATAAAAACATTGCCACTGGGGAGACAAAGGCGGTCGGGCGTGGTGCTGGCCACCCACCCCCTCGTGCACCGTTCCGGCCTTCTTAGGTGCTCGCTAACAGCACTTGCCCCTACAGTCTGTTAAGGCTATACGGGGGATCTTTGTCTTTTTTGTGAGTGTGCGTGAGTGGGTGAGTGTGTGTTAAAGAGTGTGTGAGTATGTGATTGAGTATGTGTGTCAAAGAGTGTGTGAGTGAGTAATTGATGGAGTGTGTGAGTGAGTGTGTGAGTGAGTGATTGAGTGTGTGAGTGATTGAGTGTGTGGATGTGTTAACGATGACTGGTACCAGCGGTGTCGAGATCGGCCTCTCTGGAGGAGGCACGTGAAGGATGCTACTGGGCAGCTGGAGGCAGTCGCCCTCCAACAACAACGGAGGGCGGAGGAGCGACGCTCACAACAACGAGCGGAGCGCCGGGTGGCTAAAGCACAGCAGGTTGGCACAGGAGGGGATGCAGCTGATGCATCGGCCAGTCATCTTAGTCAGTCGACCCAAGGCACCTGGGTCTGTCCCGTGACCTCCTGCCAGCGAACCTTCGACACTTCACGTGGCCTCAAAGTGCACCTAGCCTGGCACAAGCGCCGTGGTGGCGTCACCGCCACTTAGTGTCGAAAGATTCCCGCTCATGGCCAACACCAGTGACGATTGTCCTGGGCCTCCTCCTCTTGGTCGACTCAGCCTCAAATGAGTACCCTGGTGCGGTGTTTAAACATCGCCACTGGGGGAGACAAAGGCGGCCGGGCGTGGCGCTGGCCACCCACCCCCTCGTGCGCCGTGCCAGTCTGCTTAGGTGCTGCTACTCGCTAGCAGCACTTCTCACAACAGTCTGTCAGGGCCTCTCCGGGGCGTTTCTGTTTCTATGAACGGAATAAAATAACAAGATCCCTTTTATATCTATGCAGGGGCGGAGCCGGGATTTCAGGCCGAGGTGACATTCAACAAATTTTAATTTCAAGAATGATTTAGAGAGAGTCAGGTTATTGAACTAGACGCCATCGGTTGGCGGACACACTCTGACAATGCAGTTGCACGGAGTTCGCGAGACCGAGTGTCGTACACTTACACGCAGAATGTCACCCCTGTCACCACCCCTCTGGCTCCGCCCCTGTATCTATAGGATATTTTTGCCAGTATCACAGTATGAAAAACTAATAGGTTGTACCATATTTTGCCAATGAAACATGTGTTAAGATCTTCAAACACCAAGTCGATACATTGTTTGCAAGGAATCAAATCTGCATTAACCACACAGCGAAAAGGCGCTCTCTGGTGTAGGCCAATAACTTTCAGTCTGTGTGGCTTCCTGCCGCTCTCTCTGTCTGTCCATGGGCCCTGTCCGTGTGTCTGTCTCTGTGTCTGTGTGTCTGTGTCTGTCTCTGTGTCTGTCTGTCTGTCTCTGTGTCTGTCTGTCTCTGTGTCTGTCTGTCTCTGAGTCTGTCTGTCTCTGTGTCTGTCCATGGGTCCTGTCTCTCTGTGTGTCTGTCTCTGTGTATGTCTGTCTCTGAGTCTGTCTGTCTCTGTGTCTGTCTGTTTCTGTGTCTGTCCATGGGTCCTGCCTGTGTGTCTGTCTGTGTGTTTGTCTGTCTGTCTCTGAGTCTGTCTGTCTCTGTGTCTGTCCATGGGTCCTGTCTGTCTGTGTGTCTGTCCATGGGTCCTGCCTGTCTGTGTGTCTGTCTCTGTGTCTGTGTCTGTCCATGGGTTCTGTCTCTGTGTCTGTCCATGAGTCCTGCCTGTGTGTCTGTCTGTGTGTCTGTCCATGGGTCCTGTCTGTTTGTGTGTCTGTTTGTCTGTGTGTCTGTCTGTCTCTGTGTGTCTCTGTGTCTGTGTGTCTGTGTCTGTCTCTGTGTCTGTGTGTCTCTGTGTCTCTCTGTCTCTGTGTCTGTCTGTCTCTGTGTCTCTCTCTGTGTCTGTGTGTTTCTGTGTCTGTCTGTCTGTGTGTGTGTCTGTCTGTCTCTCTGTCTGTCTGTCCATGGGTCCTGCCTGTGTGTCTGTCTGTCTCTGTGTGTGTCTGTCTGTCTGTCTCTGTGTCTGTCTGTCCATGGGTCCTGTCTGTGTGTCTGTCTGCCTCTGTGTGTGTGTGTCTGTCTGTCTGTCTCTGTGTCTCTCTCTGTGTCTGTGTGTTTCTGTGTCTGTCTGTCTGTGTGTGTGTCTGTCTGTCTCTCTGTCTGTCTGTCCATGGGCCCTGCCTGTGTGTCTGTCTGTCTCTGTGTGTGTCTGTCTGTCTGTCTCTGTGTCTGTCTGTCCGTGGGTCCTGTCTGTGTGTCTGTCTGTGTCTGTCTGTCCATGGGTCCTGTCTGTGTGTCTGTCTGCCTCTGTGTGTGTCTGTCTGTCTGTCTGTGTCTGTGTCTGTCTGTCCATGGGTCCTGTCTGTGTGTCTGTCTCTGTGTGTGTCTGTCCGCCCGTCCGGCTGTCTACGCTGTGGCTCATCGTCGGCGATGAGCCACAGCCGACTGAGCCGTTGAGCGAGGAGTAGCGCGGCTCTGCGTGAGTCGCCCGCGACTCATCGGAAAGCGGAATCCGCTTTGTCCGGAGGACGCGCAGAGGACGCGAAGCAGAGGGGGGAGGGAGACGCCCCCCCCCGCCATCCCCCCCCACCCCTATCCCACTCCCCCCCAGTGACCGATCCCCGTCGGCGTCTGCGCCGCTGACATCAAGAATGGAGAACGTTCGAGGACGAGCGCACGATTGGAAGGCGTTGCATGAGCCATGCGTATGCACGGTTTTTCTTGATTGTTTGTAGTTTTCTCCAAGTTTAAAAAAAAGTATTTTCTCCCTCCCCCCCCGTCCCTCCCCCTCTTCCCTCCCTCCCTCCCTCGTCTTCCTACCTCCTCCACCTCCTCCTACCTCATCCCCAATCCACCTCCCCCCCTCCTCCTCCTCCTCCTCCTCTTCCTCCGCACTTCTCTTCCCTCCCTGCGCCCCGAGTCGGCGGCGTCCTCCGCTCGCTCCTTGTGGTGTGCCGCGGCCTCGTAAAGCTGCCAGGGTGGCAGGGGCGCTTCACGGACACCGTCCCCAAGTGGACCCTTAAACTCCGCTGTCAACGGGGACCTCTCCGCTCTCCTCCCTCTCCTCTCTCTCTCTCTGTCTCTCTTCTCCTTCGCCTTTCAGAGGTTTGTTTTTGTTCTTTTGGGCACGAAACGGCGCTGAAGCCACCGCGCGCATCTCATTGCGGACAATAACAGCACGCACGCACGCGCACACACACTCACACACACACGCACGCGCTCACACACGCACGAACTCACGCACGCACTCACTCGCGTACTGACACACGTACTCACACGCACTCACACACGCACTCACACACGCACGCGCTCACACACGCGCACGCACTCACACACACACGCACTCACGCGCACGCACGCACACACACTCACGCACTCACACACGCGCACGCACTCACACACTCGCACACGCACTCTCACACACACGCACGCACTCACACACACACGCACTCACGCGCACGCACGCACGCACGCACACACGCACTCACACACGCGCACGCACTCACACACTCGCACACGCACTCTCACACACACGCACGCACTCACACACGCACGCACTCATACACGCACTCACGCGCACGCACTCACGCACACACACTCACGCACACACACTCACGCACACGCATTCACACACACGCACGTACACACACGCACTCACTCACACGCACTCACGCGAACTCTCACGCACGCACTGACGCACGCACCCACGCACCCACGCACGCACTCACACGCACGCACTCACGCACTCACTCTCACGCACGCACTGGTCGTGAGCGGGAATCGAACTCGTCGCAGCCGAGTCCGTCGTGCACGGCGCTAGGCACTGCAACGAGCTGGTGCGGTGTGTAGTAAACATCACCACTGGGGAGACAAAGGCGTCCGGGCGTAGTGCTGGCCACCCACCTCCTCGTATGTGTGTCTGTGTGTTACTCGCTAACATCACTTGCCCCAACAGCCTGTTAAGGCTATACTGGGGATCTTTGTCTTTGGAGGTCTCATAATGAAATTAAAGAGTTAAATGCCAGTTGAGCATTTTCCATTCGTTATTTGAACAATGGGTGCGGAGCGTGCGGTGTGCGGGTATGGGTGCCACTGAAGTGTGGTGGTGGTGGTGGTGACCCCCTGTCAACACGCCACTGCTGTAGCCAGGAGTGGAGAGGGGAGGGGGGTCTCGGACAGTCCCAGCTCGGGCTGGGGGGGGGGGGCGCGGTTGGGTTATTCATCTCTCGGGCAAACAGGAAATAAGTTTCCCGAAACCCTTTTTTATGGCCCTTAAAAATTGTAAACAGAATGTACGCGCGCGTGCTTCCACTTGGCGTGCGTATTTATAATGACGGATTAACGCGGGCTACTTTTCATCCATTAATGTTTTTTTTTGAAATTTCAATTTCTTCTTCCTCTGTCTTCAATAGGCAAGGTTTGGCCACGTACGGTGCGAAAGAAGTTCAACACGCGAGTCCATCGACGTGCGACGCGAGACGGTGGGGAGGGGCAGAGGAGCAGCCTCGCCTGCGGCTCCAGAGCCTCGTGCGGCTCTTTGAGTGGCTCCCGACACAACAATAATTGCAAAGTGAACAAACCCCACCACCACCACCCCACCAACATCCTAATTATGTTCGATAAACGGCGAACGTCTTCAAAATCCAACAACAGCGATTTGTAATGCGGCATTGCAAAGTCGCGTCTGCGTGTGCTGCTGTCCTTAGAACTTGTGACGACTTACAATGTGGTAAAACCTATTCCTATATCTTGTTTCTGGCAAAAGGAGGTCTCATAATGTAAATGCTCACCCCGAGCCCTCAATACTCTGATAGTGTGCTGTTTTTGAGTTGTACGCCTTTTGGCGTCTTCTGGTCCAACACCAATGGAGACTAGGCTCTAAGAAAAGCTGTCTCGGGTGTGGACCAATCAAATTCAAGGACAGTGCTTATTATTATTATCAGAGTTGTCTTTTTTTGTTTGCATTTTGACTGCTTGTGTTGTGGTTATTGCAAACATGATGCCTTGAATAAAGGTGTCAGTTTTTGTGCCAGTTAAAAGGGTAAAACCTATTCCTATGACTTACAATGTGGTTTCACGTTATTAATTAAATGTCGTCTTGTATTCACATCCATTGCGTCTCACGACATATTGAGTTGCTTTACCGAGTTCGAAGCAAACCGCTCTTGCGTGTTATTTTGGTTTGTCCTACCCCAGGTCTAGAAGAAGTTACTTGTGGCCGACTCACGTCTTGGAAGACGACGTGGGAGTACTCACACTTTACACCACCACCACCACCAAAGACAAAGATCACCCGTATAGCCTTTAACAGAATGTCGGGGCAAGCGCTGCTAGCGAGTAGCACCTATGAATGTCCGGCACCGAATGTCGACCCATCCCCACCCACCCCACCCCCCCAAAAAAAAAAAGCAGCGGGTGAGGGTGGAGGAATAGAAACTTAGCAAGTGCCAAAGTGTACGAGTCGGTGGCGATGTTTAGGAAACGGGTGGAACGGCGTTGTGTATTCGCGCAGGATTCTGTGGCGACAAGGCACGGGATGCTCGAACGGCGTTCGCCCTCGGGGTCTTCCGCTCACATTTTACTGGCGCTCGGCGTTGGCCGGGCAAACATTTATGAATAAAAAAAAAAATGAGAATCATCATCAACGTTTGCCCCCGTCGGTTATTGCGCGAACTTGAAGCCGGACTCGGCTACGTACGGCGCGAAAGAAGTTCAACATAGGCGACATGATTTAAAGCTTTCGTGACTGCAAGGATCCATACTCTTTGGTTCTATTGGGTAAAGTCACGTAGGTAAAAAATAAAATAACAAAAATTACGACGTTTCGGCCACAACACAAGCGGCCTTCATCAGGTGAAGGGACGAGACTGTCGCTGTCCTCCAATAGAACCAAAGAGTGTAGGCCACATGCACACACACACACAGATTCTTCAATGCGTCCGCCTACAGGGGAGGGTTGCCGTGGGTGCAAGGGTCAAGCGCCAGTGGGTCGGTAACCTTTCAAGGAAGAGGAAGAAGACGAGGAAGAAGAGGAGGAAGAGGAGGAGGAGGAAGAAGAAGGAGGAGACATTATTTTGTTTGTTTTTGACTTTGACCGACAGAGTCGGAGAGCCGCGTCACACGCCGCAGAGGCATTTGAGCACAGACACAGCGGGTACACAACAGAGCGACAACAACAACAACAACAACCTGACTCAGACACAACGGCGGCTATCTAGTTTCCCTCCCCCCCCACCCCTAAGTTGAATCTTCAACAACACAGTTTGTGACCGTACTCTTTGGTTCTTTCGGTAAAGTCACGTGGTAGGTGTAAAATACAATACATTAAATCACGACGTTTCGGGCGCAACACAAGCGTCCGTCATCAGGTGGGACAACCACAGCAAGAAACTATTATTTTCTACCCACGTGACTTTACCGAAAGAACCATAGTTTATGGATCCCTGCAGTCACGAAAACTTCAAATCTAGAGAGTTTGCGACTGTTGTTCATTTTGTAGTCACCGAGATATTCTACAGTGACCCCATTCTCTGCCATATTTAACCAATTATCTGAATCTGAAATGACGTCTTTGATGATCTACGTTAACAATAAAAAAAAGACAACAAAAAGCCGCGGACTGCCGAACTCTGGGCATGTGGCACTACCAGGGCCGGGTTCAGGTTGCCGGGGGCCCAAAGACGAATAGAAGCGAAGGACTTAACGATGCATTATTACACATTGCTAAATTACTAATGAAGTTATCAAACATTTGCTTGTGATCTATCATTATTTGTTCTTACCTACGCGACAATTACCGAAATGACCAAAGAGTATGGATTACTGCAGTCGCGAAAGCTTCACATCAAGATCGAAACATGTATTTATCATTTCGCCGCACGCAAATCGCCCGCTTCACTCATCTCTTCGATCGAACGAAACAAACAAAAAACCTTCCCCCATCTTTAGCTGCTACGGAAAATATAAAAAAGTCCATGAATGATGTCGCCGTAAACCAAACACAACAGCACAATCACAAACACAACATAATTGCACGTACAATGATAATTCAAATAATTCGACAAATAATTGCCAACACAACAACAGCAGCAGCAGCAGCAGCCAGCAACGTTCGGGATGGCCGTGCTCCTGTTGCTCAGCGATTCCTTCACCAGCATAGTTGGCGCGGCACGGGGCAATTGCAGGGGCTGCGCCCTTCGCCGCTGTCGACCCTCCCGGCTGTGGTCTGGTGCGCGAATCGAGAGCCCCTTGACCCCCCTGCGAAAAGAAGCAAATCTCGGGTGAGGCTCGCGCGTGCGCTTGAAGCTCAGCGCCTGAAGTGCGCTCACGGCTGCCCAACGCAGCAAGACGATTTTTTTTTTCCTGGAGCGGCCCTGGGCCTCCTACCTGCCTCGAATGAGTACCTGATGCGATCTGCAAACAAAATTGGCACGAGGGAGACAAAGGCGAGCGGGCGTGCGGTCGTGCGTGCGTGCGTGCTGTTGGCCATCCACCACTCCCCCTCGTGTGCCGTGCCGGCCTGCGTCGGCTCTCGCTAGCAGCACTTGCCCCAACAGTCTGTATTGAGGCTATACCGGGGGGGGGGGCACCTTTTGCCTTTGTGTACATTCCGTGTGGTTTGTGTATTGTGGTATACAAATAATTTCGAAAAAATGAGTTTTAAATGAGTCGGTTAGTTCCTCACATTATGCAAATGCGCTGTGTTTATGCAGCGAAGGATGTTTAGCGCTGAAATTATTAAAGATGATTGCCGTGTTTACGCGACGGCTGTGTCGCGTGCCCCCCCCCCCCCAATCCCCCCCCCCCCCCCCAACTGAGATGATTGCCCGGAATGAGGAGCCATCGTCCGCTGACCATGCAGGGAACTCACGCACGACATAAAGGTAGTGCCGCCGCCACCCCGTGTAGCCTCGACGGACTCTTAGGGGCAAGTGCTGTCTGCGAGCTGCACCTACGAGGGCCTCCACGGCTCGCGAAGCTGGCTGGGTGGCCAGCACCGCACCCAGGTACTAATTTGAGGCTGAGTCGACCCAGGGGAGGCCCAGGAACTATTTTGAACAACGGCTCCCAGGATGACGTTGACCCAACGTTGGCCGTGTCCTTGGAAGATGATTATCAACATTATCGTCAGCCATGATCTATCCACTGCTGTATGAATTACATTGTAACCACGGCCGTCGCCCGTTCTGACGGTCTTCAGATGTAACGATCAGCGCGGATTCTGCAACTCGTGCTGCTGTCGTGAATTCGTCTCCGCTGTGGACGCGTGGGTGGTTTGGTGAGTGGGTGGGTGGTATGGTGAGTGGGTGGATGCTTTGGTGAGTGGGTGGGTGCTTTGGTGAGTGGGTGGGTGCTTTGGTGAGTGGGTGGGTGGGTGAGTGGGTGGTTGGGTGAGTGGGTGGTTGGGTGAGTGGGTGGGCGGGCGGCGTGCCCGTGCCCGTCAGCTGAGAGGATTCTCGAGTCGCCACGAGGCGCGAGTTTCAGCCCCCGAGGCGCGCGGGGTCACGCGGGGTCACGCGGGGTCACGCGCAGGTAAAGGCGGCCTCCCTCCCATGTGCCGTGCGGGACGGGCCCGGCACCGTCTGCCTGTCTGTCGTTCTGTTCGTCTGTTCATCGGGCTATCTGTCTGTCCGTCCATCACGCCCATCGCTCTGTCTGTCCGTACACCCACTACGTTTGTCGATCGGTGTGGAGCTAACATAATTTCTGCTGCTAGGCTGGCTTGGCGTAGAGATGAACGGCGTAAGGCACTACCACTGGAGTACAGGGAACGCCTATCGTGAGGACAAAGCAAGGCGCAGTGCCAACATTATTCCCGGAACATCGGCGTTCCCGGAACAGCAGCGTTCCCGAACATCGGCGTTCCTGACTATTGCTGCCGAGGTTAAGCCTCGTGATTCGGGCCCCAAAGAGCAAACAGGAACAACGACGCAAAGACAAAGATGCCCCGTGTAGCCTGACACAGACTGTTGGGGCAAATGCTGTCAGCAAGCGCCAACGAAGGCTGACACGGCGCACGAGGTTGCGGGTGGCGAACACCACGCCCTTGCCGGACCGCCTTTGTCTCCCCAGTGGCGATGCTTACTACACATCGCACCAGGTACTCATTTGAGGCTGAGTCGACGTAGAGGAGGCCCAGAAACGGTTCAGATAATCGTCGTTGGTGTAGGCCGTGAGCGGGACACGAACTCGGGTCGCCGCTAACAGAACTGCACTCACAACGACAAAGATCCCCCGTGTAGCCTTCACGCACTTTGAGGGCAAGTGCTGTCAGCGAGCAGCTATGAAGGCCGGCACGCCACGCGAGGGGGTGGGTGGCCGGCACCACGTTTCTTTCGTCGCGCTTTGTGTGTCAAGGTTGTCCTCCTTCCCACCGCACCTCCCGATTAGCCACGGTTGGCTTATAACGTTCGGTGTCGAAAGAAGTTCAACATGCGTACGTGCCCGACCGCCTTTGTCTTCCCAGTGGCGATGCGCGCACACACACACACACAAACACGCAGACAAGCCAGAGTCGGGTGGATGGTCCGTAAATCCCTTTATTTAAGCAGGTTGCATCTGCGGTAGCAAGAATATCGATTTGCATGGGAGGGTGAGGGGTCGATTTGAATACTTCACAAATATATATTATAAACGAGAAAACTGACGACAATAACTTACCCACTACACAATTACGAGGGCACATTTAAACACGAACCGAACACTGCTCCGTCTACACGGTCCCCGCTTTGCGGATCGCACCAAGCGGTCCCAGAGTCATTGATGGAGGTGGGGGGGGGATCCCGGCACGAACGCTGCCTCTCGCCATCGCTCGCCAACCCTCCCTTCTTAGCGTGACCACCACCACCACCAACAACAACAAAACAAAACAGAATCACCACTGAACCTGCCGCCACCCGCACCTCATCGGATCGCAGACGTTCCAGCCAGTTCGCTACTCGAATGGGTGACAGCCACCACCAAAGACAAAGATCCCACCCCCAACTTGTAGCCTTCACGGGCTGTTGGGACAAGTGCTGTTAGCGAGCGCCTATGAAGGCCCGCACGGCACGCGACACACCGCGCCCGACCGCCTTTGTCTCCCCGGAGGCGATGATGCCGACTACACACCGCACCAGGTGCTCATTTGAGGCCGAGTTGACCTCGGGGAGGCCCAGGACCGGTTCAAGCGATCGTCACCGGTGTTGGCCGTGAGCGGGAATCGAACTCGGGTGGCCCGGGTTCGCTGGATTCGCAGCGCAGCGCTGCCCGCCACGCGGTGTGGCGGTGTTCTCTGTCTCCGTGGTGCTGCGGTGAGCCCCGTTCGCTCGCAACA